AGAAATACCTAGTTATATATCTCTTTTAAACAGTTTTCTCCCTCCTCTGTTTCAGTGCAGTATACATTATTGAACCCATCTTACTCAGTCTCTCTCTAATCTGCCATCTCAAGTAGCTCTAGTTTAATTTCAATAGTAATCAATTTCCAGTGACTATTGCATGTCTTACTTGTTTGATAGATCTCTGAGAAGTTTATAACAAAGTTTATAACATGGGGGGATGTTGTCATAATTTATAGCTTTTTAAAGTGCAGCTATCCCCCTTCAAAGAAAGAACAACTTTCTTCCAAGAATGTGAATAATTTAATATACCGACCCATACATCTGATCATTTAATAATAACAAGAAAACTTTCACCCCACTTCTCTCTAAGCTCTTTAGCAATTACTTCTGAGACATGAATTGAAGGGGAAATTAAAGAAATACAAAACAAAGCATTTCATAAAAAGCAAGTCCTATTTTCTTAGTTACCTAGCTGTTACATGGCTGAATGAGTGCAGTAACAGAATAGGACTCTAAGTGCCGCTGTCCACCTACTTGGAGAGAAAATGCAACCAAAGCGCCCACCGGATGTATTCAGGGTTCCCACCTTGCAGAGACGCGCAGATCTCTCTAGTGGGCTCTTGCACTACAAGGAAAATCAGCCCTGAAGTTTTGGGGACCCTCCAGCTTCCTGGATCGTAGCAGTGGAGAAAAGGTAAGCAAGTCTTACTGTGCTCAGTGATGATTTTCAGAGGAAGGATTTGTAGCTAACAGAAAATGGCTGCTCAAAAAAATTCTCGGGAGCGCAGGGAGCTGGTCCTGCTGTGCTTTTTTCTGGGATCGCTGTGGGAGACCGGGAGTGGGCAGATCCGCTACTCAGTGCCAGAAGAGACAGACAAAGGCTATGTCGTGGGCAACATCTCCAAGGATTTAGGGCTAAAGTCTCCAGGGCTGGCGGAGTACGGAGTCCGCATCGTCTCCAGAGGTAACACCCAGCTCTTTGCCTTGAACCCGAGTCAGGGCAGCCTGGTGACTGTGGGCAGAATAGACCGTGAGGAGTTGTGCGCCCAGAGTGCGCGCTGCGTCGTGCAAATTAACATCCTGGTTGAGGATAGAGGGAAACTTTTTGGCGTTGAAATAGAAATTACTGATATAAACGATAATGCTCCAAAATTCCAAGCTGAAAACCTGGAAGTAAAAATTAATGAAATCGCCGCTCCAGGAGCTCATTATCCGCTCCCAGAAGCCATCGACCTGGATGTGGGCGCGAATTCCCTCCAAGGCTACCAGCTCAGTCCCAGTCACCACTTCTCCCTGGATGTGCAAACTGGGGACGCTGGAACTCTAAACCCAGAGCTGGTGCTGGAGCGCGCCCTGGACCGGGAGCGGGAGGCCGCTCACCACCTGGTCCTCACGGCCTTCGATGGCGGCGACCCGCGTCGCTCCAGCACCGTGCGCATCCGCGTGACCGTGATGGATACAAACGACAACGCGCCAGTGTTTGCTCAACCGGTTTACCGGGTCAAAGTCCCAGAGAACGTGCTCCCAGGCAGCCGGCTGCTGACTGTAAAAGCCACGGACCCGGATGAGGGGATCAATGGGAAAGTGACATACAAATTCCGGAAAATTAATGAAAAACAATCTTCCTTATTCCAGCTTAATGAAAATACTGGGGAGATAGCAACAGCAAAAAGTCTAGATTATGAAGAGTGTACTTTTTATGAAATGGAAATACAAGCTGAAGATGTGGGGCCTCTTTTGGGGAGGACAAAAGTACTCATTTCCGTGGAAGATGTAAATGACAATAGGCCCGAAGTGATGGTTACATCTTTGTTTAGCCCAATCCTGGAAAGTTCTCTTCCTGGAACCATAATTGCCTTCTTGAATGTGCATGACAGAGATTCCGGGAAGAATGGTCAAGTTGTTTGTTCCACAGCTGATGATCTGCCTTTTAGGTTAGAAAAATCAATAGACAATTACTATAGGCTAGTTACATGGGAATATTTGGATCGAGAAAGAGTCTCTATGTACAATATCTCAGTGATGGCTTCAGACCTAGGAACTCCGCCTCTGTCTACTGAAATTCACATCGCCCTGCACGTGTCTGACACCAATGACAACCCCCCAGCCTTTCTTCACACCACCTACTCTGCCTATATTCCCGAAAACAACCCCAGAGGCGCTTCCATCTTCTCGGTAACTGCGCACGACCCGGACAGCGAGGCGAACGCCCGGATCACGTACTCCCTGGCAGAGGACACCCTGCTGGGGGCGCCGCTCTCCTCCTACATCTCCATCAACTCTGACACCGGGGTCATCTATGCGCTCCAGTCCTTTGACTATGAGCAAACTCGAGACTTGAAGCTACAGGTGACAGCCAGAGACAGCGGGGACCCTCCGCTCAGCAGCAACGTGTCGCTCAGCGTATTTGTACTGGATCAGAATGACAACGCACCCAAAATCCTGTACCCCGCTTTTCCCACCGATGGTTCCACCGGCGTGGAGCTGGCGCCTCGCTCCGCAGAGCCCGGCTACCTGGTGACCAAGGTGGTGGCGGTGGACAGAGACTCGGGTCAGAACGCCTGGCTGTCCTACCGCCTGCTCAAGGCCAGCGAGCCAGGGCTGTTCGCGGTGGGGGTGCACACGGGCGAGGTGCGCACTGAGCGGGCCCTGCAGGACAGAGATGCGCTCAAGCAGAGCCTGGTGGTGGCCGTCCAGGACCACGGCCAGCCCCCTCTCTCAGCCACTGTCACGCTCACCGTGGCTGTGGCCGACAGCATCCCCGATGTGCTCGCTGACCTGGGCAGCCTGGAGCCCTCCCACGACTCTGATGCCTCCGACCTCACGCTGTACCTGGTGGTGGCCGTGGCTGTGGTCTCCTGTGTCTTCCTCGCCTTTGTCATTGTGCTTCTGGCGCTCAGGCTGCGCCGCTGGCACAAGTCGCGTTTGTTTCAGGCTGAGGGAGGTGAGTTGGCAGGTGTGCCCGCCTCTCACTTTATGGGCATCAATGGGGTACAGGCTTTCCTTCAGACTTATTCCCACGAAGTGTCCCTCACCGCAGACTCAGGGAAGAGCCACGTTATCTTTCCTCAGCCCAATTACGCGGACACGCTCATCAGCCAAGAGAGCTGTGAGAAAAACGATCCCTTGTTAACATTCATAGATTTCCACGAATGTAAGGATGAAGCCACTGGTGGTCAGGTGAGTTCAGGTCTTGGTTATTATTTTTAGAGGAATTATATTTGGTACCATGCTCTATGACTTCCAACCAGTAATGTAAAGACAATCCATTGCCATTGAGTTCTGAGGTGAGCTGACTCTCTCCTGTTTCTGAGGCTGTAAATCTTTAACGGAGGAGAACGTTCATCTTTCCCTGGAAGAGTGGCTGGTGGAGTCCAGTGGCTGCCTTTTCAATTAGCAGACCAGTACTTTCAGCTACCTGAGGACTGTGGTGTGCAGGTAGAGGTGGGGGTGGGGGGATCAAGACATAAGGAAAATTTGGGGTTTATTTTAGCAGTCAATCTTCATAACTGTCATCAGTCGTCTGGCTTGGTTTCAAAAGACTGGGTAAGTTCTTTTCATTATATGCTCTCAACCTTTTAAAGGCTTCCAATATTTTCTTCTTTTTATCACTCATTCATTTAAGAATGAATTACTCATCTAAGGTAAGTTTGCTATTGCCCTGCTCTCTATGTGCATATAACCTTTATCTTTCCTAATGTAGGCTCTGGGAAGAACTATTGAGAATTCCAAGTCCTTGTGTTAGTTTAAAGCATCTCTGAATTTTCAGGATTATGGCTAGGCTTTGGAACTCTCATGAGGATCCTTAAATGTCCTTGAATTTAAATCTCTTTTCTGAATCCATCAAAACTTTACTACTTCTTTTTTAAAAAACCACCAAAAATTACTACTTCTTATCATATTTTGAAACCTAGATCAATGTTAAAGGATAGAGACTGTAAATGTTTGTCAATAAGCACTCAAATCCTGTATCAGTGCACAAGTGGGGTTGAAATTTGTGAATGGCCATTTGTCTCCTCCCCCTTCCACAAAAAAAGAAACCTATACAAGTCAGGTTTCAAGTAAAATGTCATTTTACATTACTGAATGTGAATTTGTAAAATACAAATAGAGTCCCAATGAGCTGTTCTGGTTGTGCAGATAGATGTGTGTAAGGTAGAAAGAACTGGGAAATGTTAGTTGTGGGCTTTTTAAAATTTTATTATTTTTTTGTGTGTACTGTTAAATCAGATCTGACTGGTATAGAAGGAGATTTTCCCTCCTTCTCCAGCAAATCATCTGGTGAATTTGAACCATGCACCTCTGGGATTGCAGTGGGGAATGTCGGTTTTAAGAACAGAAGTTTCATGTGCACAAATTCTAAGCAAGTAGATCAGTTCCAATTAAAAGTATACAGTCTAGACCTCAGACCCTCTGCATTTCTTCTTGTGATGTTTGAAGAAAGTGAACCCTCTGATTTGAATGTCTTCAGGCAGAAGTGGAGGAAGTGGTAGATCTTGTTAGTGAAAGGGATATTTCCTAAGGCTTGTTCGGTGTTCTATGCTATTTTTCATGTGAATGCAATGAGATAGGAGTTCATGTAATATTTTCTGTGGTGCTGGGATGTACAGTAATTTGACAGAAAAATTACTGATGCTTTTCAAGTTTAAAATGTGGTTGTGGTTGATTGGTGCCATCAAGTCTACTATGACTCATAGTGGCCTTACGAAGAGCAGATCTGAACCCTGTCCTATCCTGTGTCATCCTCATCACCTCTCCCACACTTGAGCCCTTTGCTCCAATGTGGAATGGCCCCAGTTTGTTTGTTTGTTTGTTTGTTTTAAATCCATATCCTCTCTTACAACATTTTCTAATTGTTTTAAAAGTTTTTGCTGATATAGTTAGTAAGAATTAGATAAAAATATCACTTTATTCAGTAAATTAATGAAAACAAACAGGCTGTGTTCTTGGTTCTGTGTAAGTGAATGATGAACACATTTCATGTGATATTAACATACAAAGCAGGAGGACTTGGTAGGTAAGGTTGTCATGTCTACAATGTAGAACAATTTTCTTTGGTTGAAGTAGTTAGAAAAGAAAAATGACAGTATTGGTATTTGTTGGGGTTAATGGAAAAGCTTACACACATTTACAAAATAATTTTTAATGCTAATATATTTATACAAAGTATTAATTATATAGTAATGTAGAAGGAATAAAATTTGATGAAAGAAGGATAATTATTTTAGCTTATTATAGCTAGTGAAGAGAAATTCACTTACAAAATCAGTAGGTAGTAACACAGCGTATTCATTGCTCTACAGCCACTACAGTCCCCTGCAAAGGTAAGAGGTCCATGCGAGGTTGTAAATACCGAAATATATTAACATGTTTGTAGACTGGTGTAAAACTCCAACCTGGTGTTCCTAACAATTTTAAATCTTGAGAAAATACCTGATCAACAATGTTTATACTTAAAGCTATTCATTCTCAAAAACTCACTGCCTTCAAGCCGGAACTGACCCTCTATGGAGAATTGTCAGAGGAGATTCTTTCTCCCCCAGGGCAGCTGGTGGATCCAAACTGCCTGCCACTGGTTGGACAGCGTAACTGCTTACCCTCTAGGCCCGCCAGAGCTCCCTAGCTGTTAATTACAAGGACAAGAAAGCTTATCTTCTGAAACTCCCAATTAAGGTTGCAGCTCACTACTTTGCAGTAGCACAGGCTGCAGTTTCTTGTGCGGACTCTGGGCGCCGCTGTTGGCCAATTTGGAGACCCAGGCGCTCCAGAGCTTCTCGCGCAGCCGCAACATGCTTTCCAGCGCAACTACCTCTCCGACTCGTTCGCGCTATTATTTCACCACTTCCTCCTCTGGAGAAGAATCCCGGACCCTACTACTGGAACTAAAGGCCGATCGCAGGACTTGCAATACAGAA